TTCAGATTCTTTTTTACCAAAAAAAATGAAATTCCCACAAACTACCTTCAGATAAATTCCAAAAATTAAGAGCGGCAGAGTACTCTAACAAGCAAATCATGAATTAACCAGCGCTGGAGTTCCTAAATGATATGCGAACAAATTAACAAAAGTTTTAATAGCAAATGACCACTTTTAAGTAAACGTTAACTAGCATTCAAGTAAGAAAATTATACCCAAATACTTAAAAAACAATAAAAATAAAAATTACTGATTCCGTAACTTTACATACAATAGTAATGCTCCACAAGAGACAAAGTTTGATGCAGTCCAAACAGTTACTATCAAAACTTTCTCCCGTCAATTCCTTTGAAAAATGCTTAATAAAGATAAGGTTAAGTTTGACACAACCACTTATGCAAAAGACAAGAAGTGTTTAGTTGTTACACAACTGTTACCTATAGCTAAGTAAAAATCATAAGCAATTTAAAGGTGAAAAAAAATCAATGCTCCTTCAAAATTGTAAACCAAGAAATTCATTAAATTTGATGTTTTAAAATTTGTTTAAATTTTGAACCTAACAACGACACTAAAGTACAATCGATGAACGCTATTTACGGTGTAACACATTATCCATACGACTAGAAACAGTCCAAGGATTACTGCACGAAAAAAACCCAGCTACGCGCAAGTATGCACAAAAAAAAAAAAAAAGTTAAAAAAGTTAAAGAAAAGAAAACTTTTCAATCATCAAAAAAATTGAGTTCAGAAAATAAACGAACAAAATTCATTTGTAGCTTCTTCATACATCTTGGATTGAATAACGTTTTTTCAATATCAAAACATTATTTCTACCACCGTCTATTTTACTTTCTAACTAGTTATCTTTTCATACAGATAAAAATTCCTCTTCCCCTCACTGCTCCTATTGGTCTTTTTTTGCTACCACTGAAAACAGCTAAGACAGCTTGCTAGAAACTCCATTTCGACTTTCTTTTCCTTTTGCGCAATATTTCTCAGTGAAATTTCAGGATCTGTTAGCAGATAGTTTTCTCAGTTAAATAACCCAATCTGCAACATACACACAAATGTATATCTTGATTCTAGAAAGAAAAAATTTCCCTATATCACACATATATGGAGAGAAAAAAAACGGCCCCCTTTCAGTTTTTCACACAATTAAATTATGTGCTACTTTTATTACCAAGCAAAAGACTTTCCATTTTTTCGTTTCTTATTGTCCACTTCGCTTTTTTCCCCTCTCCCCTTAAATCATTAAGATAAATTACTTTTGTTTCACTATCCTATACGATTTGCAACTCTTCTATTACCTGTACCTTTTTGTTCTCAGATACAAATCTGTCCCTTCAGGACCAACGCCTTCAAGCATTTAAATTACCGAATTTGAAAACAACTCAATACCACCAGAAGCAAGTCTCAATTTTTCTCAATCTTAACTAGTACAATAGAAATCCCATTACAGTGAAAGTTTTTGCGAGGTCCTATAAGCAATAATATACAGACACTTTCAAAGCTGCAAAAAAATAACATTTTTAATGCATCCTACGCATAGCAAGTACTCGAAGAAATAGAATAATATACCAAAAGAAAAAACTCACAAACACAGACTTTAAAAGTAATAAAAAAAAAAAAAAAAACAGATGACGAAACTAAGTGAACTGAGTGTGGAAAAAAAAGTAGAAAACAAAACCACTAAATTTATTCAAGTAAATAAAAACCTGATAATAAAAAATATTTTTTGCACCCCAATAGGTCACCCTAATAACTGACAAAAAAAAATACTGGAATGAAAGAAAAATTATTCTTCGTTTCCTTCATCCCCAAAAAAGCTGAAAAAAAAAACTTGAAAATAAAACGCCAAAAAAATAAAAAAAAAACTGCAACAACACCTTCCCCACAAACAAAAGCTTTAACCTTCAGTGCTGAAAAAATCAACGCTACCACACAAAACACAGCTACACAGAGACAGCACCGCAGAAAAGAGGCCAAAACAGAGAATTTACCATAATGGAATTTTGCCAAAAATAAAGATTTGAAAAATACTCTCTGCTGAATATTCTCGACAGAAAGCAACGAGAAAAAAGTAAAGTTTAAAAAATGAAAGAAAAAAAGAAGGAAAAAAAATGAGTT